GAGAGAGAAAGAGAGAGTTCTGTGGAATTTCTGAGCCTCTGCTGAAATTAGATTTCACAGGAATTCACTGCATCCTCAGAGCAACTTGTGTCTGCACTGTTATCAATTAAATCCCTTTATTTAGCACACTTTTTTGGTTATGAGTTATCGTTCCGCCAGCCTAGAAAAGGATCATACTGCATAGTACTACATACTGATCATCTACCACAAGTGGTAGGGGTGAGGGGAGGAAGACAGGACAAAGACATGTTGTAGATGAGAGCCAGTGTACATCATGGAAATCCCCCAGCAGCCTACACCTATTACAGCGTAACTAAGGGAAGATTCAGGGCCACCTAATCCAGCCCTAACCATATGCTTTAGGAAAAAGGAAAGTTTTAGGCCTAATCTTAAAAGTAGAGAGGGTGTCTGTCTCCCAAATCCAAATTCAAAGCTGGTTACAGAGAAGAGAGGCCTGAAAGCTGAAGGCTCTGCCCCCCATTCTTCTTTTAAGTACAAATAAATTGGCGGTCTGGGAGCAAAGTGCTGTAACAGGGTGATAAGGTACTACCTGATTATTCAAGACCTTGTATGTAAGGGGCAGGATTTTGAATTCAATTCTGGATTCTCTTTTTAGTCCCTGTTAGTACTCTTGCTGCAGTATTTTGGATCAACTGAAGGCTTTTCAGGGAGTTTTTAGGAAATCCTGATAATAATGAATTGCAGCAGTCCACCCTAGAAGTAATTAATGCATCAACTAGTTTTTCAGCATTTATAAGCATGTAGTTGTAAATCCATCAGTCCAATTTCTTAACCACTTACCCCACATCTAAAATATGTCTAATAGCAATTTATAATTCTCTAAAAAAAATGCTATAATCAGTAGATGTATTTCAGATAAAGATAAACCATTTGGCTTGTCTCTGTATGATACATACACTCATCAACTACTTTATTAGGCACACCTGCTTATCTGCTCGTTATTACAAATATCTAATCAACCAATAACATGGCAGCAACCCAGTGCATTTAGGCATATACAGATACTCAAGACAACCTGCTGAAGTTTGAACCGAGCATCAGAAGGGGGAAGAAAGGCGATATCAGCATGAATGTTGGATGTTTGTTGGTGTCACATGGGCTGGTCTGAGTGTTTGTGATGAGAATGTTTACAGAGAATGGTCTGAAAAGGAGAAAATATCCAGCGAGGAGCAATTTTCTGAGTAAAAATGCCTTGTTGATGTCAGAAGAGAATGACCAGACTGCCTCAAGCTGATAGGAAGGCAACAGTAACTCAAATAACCTCTTTTTCCAACCAAAAACACACAGAAAAGCATTGGTGAGTGCATAACACTTGAAACCTTGAAGCAGAAAGCCAAACCATGTGCCACTCCTGTCAGCTAAGAACAGGAAACTGAGGCTACAGCAACTGAGGAATGGGCTCACCAAAATTAGATAGAAGATTGGGGAAAAAAAAGATTTCCTGGTCTGGCCTGCTGGTGTAAACAACCTGAAAGCATTATAAAAACGACTGGAGAGATATTTTATTGTTCAGTTTTCATTACTAATGATGTAATGTCCCAAGTATTTAAAATCAAGGGGAACCTTGCATCTGAAGAAAACATCTTCAGTCAATTCATTATGAGTTATGAAGTATATAAAGGTGCATGATGACAGGCTTGATGATTTATGACTATGGTCATAACTCATCAAGCCTTTGTAAAACAGGGTAATGGTCACATAAATATTTAATTATAAGAGTTTGACCTAGTTGGCTATGTGCCCATCAACCCGGTTGATTGAATGACGAAAAAGTGCATAAGTGGTTGAGCCTTGGGAGACTTGCGTTCTATTTTCAGCAGTGTGATTGTTTTCCTGCTGCTAGGAAGCCAAGCAGGAGAAGCTACAGAGCCCATTATATGTTACATTACATTGCTGGAAGCCTGGAGATGGCTTTTATTGCCTTAAGTTTCCTACAGCAGCACCATCATCCGTTTACATGTAATAACCTGGAAAATACAGTATATATATTTAATTGCATTTCTTTCAGTAGATGATTAAAATGTGTTTTTAATGTCTTTATCTTCAGTAACCATCTGATCTGATCTACATCAGAAATTCTGTGATCCAGAGAACGACCAAAGGACCTTGGGTAATCTTCCTGGAGATAAGGTAAATTCTCCAGGTACAGACGCAGTGACAGGAAAAACAAAACGAATAATTCATTGTGGAATAAGTACTTACCCTGTCAGAGTGATTTAGATTATATGCCAACTGGAGCACAGAATTAAAACTTCACTGGACACCAGGAGGCTTGTTTTTCAGGACTTTGCATTATTGAACAAATCAATTTTCTTATGTGTAATTATTAAGAGAGAAGAAATGAAACCCTGTCTGCTGACACATAGTCAGCACTGAAGTAGACTTCTTAGTGTCCTTGTTTGAAAGCCAAAATGAACAATAGCTCACTACAATAGAATAACTTTTATTCTATTAACAGTCAGAGAAAAATGCGAATTACTCTAAAATGCATTATTATGATTAATGCCACTTCATTTTTACATTTCAAAAAGAAATACATTTAGGCAAGTACAATATTTTACAATCAGTGTATGACATTTTGTGAAATTAAACACTTTGTTAAACATTAACTTGTTGGTTCCGAATGAATTAAGGCATCTGACCTCTAGCACAGAAATAGCCCTCAGCTCATTATTGTTATCAAGTCTTTAGGTGGTCAAGCCCCCTCAATAGCCCCTTAGATCTCTCATATGGAAGACTTGATCCCAAGGACAGGAATCACTGGACTGAACTCCCCAGCTGGATGTCAAGTAGGTAAAATTGCCTTACCAGCCAGCTACAAGAATAACATGCTGTATACAAACCAATAAGGTCATGTACAGTTAGTTAAGTATTTGGACAATAACAAGCATTTCGTTAACTGATTAGGAACTGCAGACATTTTTATTCAGTCCTTCATTTTCCGAGGCTCAAAATTAATTGGACAATAATGCGACAAGCACATTGATGGCCAGATTAAAGATCTGGAGCTGACCTTTGATTTGATAGCTCTTCACTGGAACTCTATATCAGGTAAGAAGAAATACTTGATGCCTGTGGGGGTGGACATCATTAGGCTGAAAACCAAAATAAACATACAGAGAGACGGGAAAAACTTTAGGAGTGGCTAAATAAACAATCTGGTACATTGCGAAAAAGAAGGAATGCACTGACCAACTCGGAAACATCAAAAGGCCTGAAAGATCACAGAAAACAACTAAAGTGCATTATGACAGAATAATCTCCAATGGTTAATAAAAAAATCTTTACAACATCTGACCTCTATTAAAGAATGCTTTTCATTTACTGAAGACAAACCTGAAGCCACAGACACAAAAACAAGTAGCAGCTGAAGGCGGCTGCAGTAAAGGCCTGACAGAGTATCTAAAAGAAGGAAACACAGCATCTGGTCATGTCCATGGGTTCTGGACTTCAGAGGATTGGACTGCAAACGATTTTCATCAAAGTATTTAAAACAATTCTGGTATTTAAAATTATGTTTGTCCAATTACTTTTGAGCCTCTGGGGAACTCTGTATAAAAATTGCTGTAATTTCCAAACAGTTAATGCAACACGTTTGATAAACTCACTCAACTAAAGATGAAAATCAGCACTGTGGTGCTATGCAAAGACAAAAATGCAAATATTGTGTCATTATACAAATACTTATGGACCTGACAGTATAATGAGTAATACCAAGGGGCAATTTATTACTACTTTCACTCTGTTCTTACAGTACAGCTTTATTACATCTTTATGACTATACTAATTTTTACTTGTAGAGGAACCCCACCCCCCGTCATTTAAGTACTACTGTACTATTCAGAGTGCACAAATTGGGACGGGAACATTTAGACCATAAATACAGGAGTTTGCCAGATAATTCCAATTTCAGACCCCATTCGTCTTTAATTTGATCATGTTTTCATGATCAGAACTTTACAGCTGACACAGACAAGTAGTCTGAACAGTATTGAGATGTGTATTCGCTAGAAGATTTACATACAAGCACTGGGGCTACAAATTGTACTGTTCTGCCTAAAGAAGCAATTTTTGAAATTTGAAATAAAAAAAAAAAAGGCTAAAAATACACAGTTTCCACCACATTGATTCTGAGGCCATCACAGTGTTTTAAATCAGTGTCATCAGCCACTTTTCAACACACAACAGAAATCACATTATCCATCAACTGAAGCCCTTTGGAGTCACAAGGTTTTCTAGAAATCCACTTCAGCCCAAATCCAGTGCAGATAAATTAGAAATTCAGAAAACAAGACTACTCAGTCACATGAAGATAATCAGCTGTCAGTGATTTCTCATTGTGTCTTCGTAAAAACCTTTTCCCCATTCTGAAAGTGAAACCCAAAATTTTCATGTGTGTGCTTTACATGATTAAAGTCCTCAGCAGAAAAGCTTTTTTCCCACTGAGGCTTTTAATGCTTGCGAGGAAATGGAAACATTTGTGGTCAGCAGCAGCAGCAGCAGCAGCACGGATCTGTCCTCTGCTTTTATTCAGTCCACTGTGAAAGCCGGCTGGCTCATTTCCCTGAAGAAAAAAATAAAAATTCTGCTGGATTATGCAACAAAAGCAGCAGGAAGGGGAGATAATGATGAAAGGGACAATAGAGCACTGCACCAGTGGCCACTACCATGGGTTGGTGAATAATTATTAATTTACAGAAATCCTACTGAGATTACTTTAATGAGATCTCATTGGTGGCAACAACCAGTCCATTAACAGTCCCTACATTTACAGAGAGTAGCAGCAGCAGTGCTGTGGTTTTGATTAGATGACAAAGTTAAATCAGTAACATACTGTACAACAGCTTATTGTTCTAAACGCTTTCTTGGCTTGGAAACAGAAACATTTGTTTAAGAAGAGCAGTACCAAAACCATAAACTGGTATTTATATTCAATGGTGTTCATTAACAGCACTACCACCTCCTAACAGTCCGTACAGTATACAGTACGCCAGCTGGTGTTCTCCATATTTGCTTGGTTTTCTTATTTCTTGGCAAAGGAAAGGTCCTTGCGGCATCATTTTTGGATGGAAACTGCCAATTAGCATCGGCAATAAATCCACAAACAAAAGTGCAACATGTCTCTTTTATGTGGCACAGAGAATCAGTGAAGTGAAACAGGCCTTTTGAGTAGCAGAGCAGGACCAGAGTCTATAATGGTGCCAATATAATGACTTATGGTTTTTGATGTTTACGTTTAGTTAGGAGGCAGCAGGGTTATGTTCAACTTACTGTACTGACTGAATAAATTCGATGCATTCACGAAAGGTTATATTATATAAATGGACATCTAAATTCTCTTGCCACTGGTCAAAATCACAAAAAGTTTATAATTTGGATGGGTGAGTCCATACACTCAGACATACATCACATTACTCATCTGGGTCTTAGCATTCGTTTGTTATAGTTCGGTTTTGATCCTGTGCACCAGATCTCTCTGGTCCACCATGTCTGTCTGTCTATTCCAGCGGTGGTAGGCTAGCAGGGCGATGTTTTTGGCAGCCACTGAGCTCATCTCCATGGCGCTACCAGCCCACTCAATCCCATTGAGGTAGTAGAGATTGGGGTGCAGCTCCACAGGTGGCAGTCGCTGGCTGCTGCTGTAGCGAGGGTAGGCCTGCCACTCCGTCACCTGCACTGAGTAGTACGACCTAAAATTGAAGAGAACAGTATGATAGAGTAAAGCAGCCAATGATCTATGTGGGTGGTAAGATCACTAAATAACTTTTTTAAATAAAAAAAACAACAACTATAATGTATTTAGAAGATTCTGATAACAAAAAATGTTCTCCCCTAAACATAAATACCTAAATTTCACTACCTGAATAGGAATATTTGCTGGTTTTCTCTGTTTTATACAATAGTAAATTTAAAAACTTACATTAGAGCTTGACTGATATTTACCGATATCAGTGCTGGCATTTATCACAGCCGATACATTACAAATTCAATAGGACGAGATGGTAGAAATACCCTTCAAACATGTAATAAAAGCACAAACAACAGCTGAACCAGTCAGAGCCTAAACAAGTAAACGTGGAGTCATCCACGACTTGCTGTAACCACAAATCAAGTTTATTTTTAAACTGAACTGACTCTTACATAACTACACTTAAGAAACGTTAGGGAACATAATCGACCAATATATTGGATTCTTACAGATTGGTTTTAAAAATCTCATATCCGTCAGGCTTTACTTTGGACCAAACAAATACAGAATTGCCCAGGCATGACTATGGGATCAACTTCTGGGAAGAACATGGCTGACCTGAATAGCGTTTTGAGCTGAGACTTTTCCAGCAGCTGTGGGGAGAACACCTTGTAGACTCCAGCCTCCTGCGGCTGCTTACGCCGGAACCCTGCTGAGATGTTGACGGGACAAACACTAGCCACGCTGTTAAAGAACAGATCAGGTGTGTCGGTCGTCAAGACGCTGGCGAAAGGGAACAGACGGGGGTCCGGGAACCCAAAGAAGGAAGTGTTGAGGTAACCATGGACGATGGTTGCTACAGTGCTGTGATAGCTGCCAGGCAGCTCATCAAACGGAGGCGTGAAACCTTGAAACTGGACTCCAGACCCGACGCTAGCCTGTAGAGGCGTCGCCAACACTACAATGTCATACAGCTCTGATGCCGTCCCTGTTGCCGTGGTGAAGCTCAGCTGGTACTGGAGTCCCTCTCCTGTATTACAAAAAAAGCTCTGTGGATGACAAACCATCTCATTCTTTCTTTCATGTTTGCTTTTATGTTCAGCTCTCTCTTCAACACAACAGGTGGATTATAATATACAAAGGACACACAGACTCACAAAGAATAATCAATACCAGTAAAGCTGTCACAGCTGAAAAAACCCCTTAAAAAACAGGACACATCAGGATGGCGTTACCTGAGTGGATGGGAGAGATGGAGTTGACCTGTGCCTCCAGCAGGTTAGCACTGGCCATTTTCAGCAGGCCTGAACACACCAGCTTGTTGCCTCCTTCCACCGCCCACAGGTTGTTCTGGGCACCAGCTAAAGACACAGCTCCTGAAACACACACAAGCACACGCGCGCTGAACAGACAGTGCCAAGTGCTTTAAACCAATTATCAGCTGCCCACACGCTTTCCTGTTCTCTCACTCCCACAGACCACCCCGCTCCCCTCTCACCTTGCCTTCCTCTTCTACTCTCAACCCTGCATCTCTTTTCCTCTCTCGTCCTTTCCTTTCTCCTGAGCCAAATCGGAAAGGAAGACGTTCAGGTCATAACTGTCCCCGAATGCACCTTCACAGCTGTTGCCCTCTTACTTCACTACTCATCACCCCTTCACTTCTTCCTCCACTGCTGCTTGCATCTTCCCACTTAGCTGACCTACAAAGGCTGGGATGCTGACATTCTGTCCGTAGTTGATCCTCATCACGGGTGCGATAACCTCATCAATGAAGCGTTGGGACACACCCAGCTCCAGCAGCGAATCGGACAGTGGCCTCCGGGTCATGTTGATGAAGCCGCTGCCCCCGAGAGAGTCCAGCAGTTCCTCTACGGAGCTAAAGGCGTAGCCGTGGGCCTGGTATTTGTAGATCCTATATTTCACATGCACAGACACACAAATTATAACAGTTAACGACTAAATCAGTAGACAGAGCAATATGGAGATGTTTTGTTTTGTTTTTTGGTTTCGTTTCCTGCTCAAAGTTATTCAGTCAGCAATAATCTATTGGCAACAAATCAGAGACGGAGAGAAAGATATAGAGGCTTGTGGTTGTCAACTTAGAGAGAAGAAAAGAAAGAAAAAAGTGATGAAGAGTTAAAAATCACTTCCTGAGGGAGGAAATAGATGTTGGTGGTGGAGGAAGGAAAAAGCAAAATTCTGTTTCTGGTTCATCTTTCAAGGCAAAACTGAGCAGAGGAAATATAAATGTAAGCAAAAGATTTGACATGATATCTGAAATACACTCATGCAATTCTACACTGTATATTTGTGTTGCTGGAGGATAGAGACAAGTTTCATGTCAGTAGTCCTTTCTCACTGGCAAATCCCAGGCAGATGGCTATCTATATTTACGCAGACCTCATGCTCGGAAAGGCACACAATGAGTCAAGGTTTTGCAGTTATTATGGCTGCAGATGCCTAAGGCGCAGAGAGCAATAAATAGCTCAAAAACAGGCTTCCCCCACTGACTGCAACACCAGAAGGGAATGCTGTGCACATTTTAAGGGCAAGACCTTATCTTTGAGATAGAAAAAACAATTTTAGGAAGAAAAGCACTCAAGGCATGAATGACTCAGCTGGATCTGCAGTGCCAATTTTGGAGCATTCCTGTCATTACCACTAATCAACTAACAATACTGCCACCAGAAAAAGGCAGGAGAAAAAATGAGCATTAAGAAATAAACAAAGCTTTGCTTCCACTTGCAGAGACACCCACAACAAAGTTATGATACCCTGACAGTGCAGTTTGTAGCGGCACCCCTGCCACATCCCATCAAGTGTCCAACATGCAAAGAAGCTAAAGAGACAAAATAATAAAATCAAGTCACTAAAATTTATGACTCACCTCATAAACTTCTCCATAATCTCCTCCACCCACATCTGCAGACGTATGAAGCTAATACCGTAGCGCCACCACAGCCGGAACAGGTCGAGCAGGTACCAGTCCGTCTCCTCCAGAATCACCTCTTCGCCGTTAAATACCGCCATCTTTCCGGCCACGTTGCGACGATACTTCAAACCTTGTTTGGGCAAACACAGGACGACACGGAGGACCAACATAGTGTCAGGTTTCTAACTTTCCTCTTGTAAAGTGATCGCTTTTGCTGGGGAATATTTAAAAAAACGCAAGAATCCCTCCCCTGGTTTGAAAAAGCAAAGAAAATTTTTTAAATCTGACCTCTGCTGTGACTAATTAATGTCTTTGTCCATAAACTCACCCAGCTGCTTGACAAACTCCTGCATGTGGAGGTTGAGTGAGTGAATAATGGAGCCTCCAGACTCATAGTCGTTGTGATTGACGGTTACGGTGGCGAGACGGCCTCCCACCTCTCCCTTCTCAAACACGTCCACCTGGACCTCTGGGCCAAAGTGCTGCCGCAGGAAGTGGGCAGTGGCGCTGCCTCCTATCCCTGCCCCAACCACAGCTGGAGAGCAAGAGACACAGAGTGAGGTTGGGTGATGAAATGTGCCTTAAATCTTACGGAGATCTATATTACAGTGTGAATTTGCTGTTTGCTGGTGTTGTTGGCCTCTCTATAAGGGTAATAACAGTTTCATCAGTATTTACTATTCATCTATAGGTGGACTGAGGATGAGGACAATAAATTATGCTTTTCTTGAGTTTTTGGGTTATCTTGAAGTATAGAGATGATGAATAGGGCACATTGATAGGGCATACTGTTTAATCTCAAATGATCTCTTGTTACAGCACTTCCACTCATCGTGGGGATGAAGGTCATTGTAATTCTGGCCTTTTAATGATTTCTTTGAACTGTTCTTTTTTTCAGGGTGAAATGACTGTACAGCATACATCTTTACATATGACTTTAAAAAACAATAATTGGGTGCACAAGTTTTGGATTTTCTTTAATCCACATAGGGTTCAAATTAAACACAGATTCAAATATATATACACTCAGTTAAATCTTTTATAAGTGGCGCTGAAGGCTCTACAATGTTGTTTAGTTTGACAAGGCCAAGGCCTACAAACTTCTCATTAGTGATCACGATTGGGAAGCTCCCTTGTAGCCATTTGTATACAACTGCAGATTCCAGGATTATCAGACAAATGTAATTGTAAATATTATTCAGATGTATCAATACTTTGCCTGGGGCTGTTACCAGTGGTACTGGTACATTGGGGGGAATAATGAAGAAGGACTAATTCTTCAACCTTTGGACACAGGTGTTCCAACAGAACAATGACCCCAAACACACATCGAAACTGTTTTGAAAAGGCTAAATCAGACTAACATTAAGCTTCTGGGATGGTTTTCTCAAAGCCCTGACCTCAACCCTGTTGACACTTTGTGGACTATGCTTAAAATCTGGGTCTGTGCCAGGAAACCAACCAATTCTGCCAATAAACTCACCTTGAGAAAGAAACCGCCAAAACAAAAACATAAAAAGACCCAAAATACCATGACATTCATGCTTATGATGACAGTATGAAAAACTTCTGACTGCAACTGTATGTAAAGGGAAAAAGGAATTTAAAAGAAATTTATTACTTTGATGTTTAACTTAAAAAACAAACAAACAAACACATTATTATTTTGTTTTTTCAAGTGTAAGATTTGCTGTATTTCCTCTTTTGTGCTTTTATATTTTCCGTCATATCTTTAGGTTTTTTGGGCCTCCTGGCTGGTGATGACAGCTGAAGCTTTACTTCCTGTTTATTTGAATAAAGGTTGCTTCAAAAAGCAAATTAACAGATAATTCGTGTCTATAATTAAAGCTTTCTTAATCACGTGAGACACAATGTTCAGGCTAGGTTAGTGTTTGCCTTTATCTTCAGTATCAGAGACCCCTGATGGATGCTGCTTATTCATCAGCCCTCAGACTGACTGAGAGGCTAACATTAGCTGAACTAAACAGCTAACTAGGATGGTTTAATAACTGCTTTTCTTGCCTATCTTTGAAGGCGGAGCTCCGTCGACAGGACCGTGTTCCTCCGGGTCTGCGACAACAAACCGGGCTGCCAACACAGCGACGAAAAGAGGGAGCAAAGAGCAGCCCATAGCGACAGCAAAGCAGCGATGATCGGATGGAGAGGAGAGGATGCGACCGTTAGGCTAATAGCACACGAGGCTAGCTTTTACCTTCTCTGTGCGTTCACAACAGTAGAAACTCAACGGTGTGACGATTAACATGTAAGTAAATGAGGCCGAATAAGACGAGAATACAGCACAAAGGATGGATAAAGATGGTGATGATGGTGCAGCAGTTGGACCGCCACTCACGTCTACGTCCGGCAATATCACGTGATCCAAACAGATTTTTTCGACCAATCAGAGACGGCCGACTGCTGTGTCGTGCATGTCAGTGGTTTTCAAGCTTACTGCTTCCAAATTACGCTGAAAAGCACACCTTTAATGATATCTATAGAAAATATGTATATTATATAGCATTTTTGGTTGTCAGATGAACGCATCTTTGTTCATTGCTTTGTTTCCGGTGCCCTCTTATAGAACGTGAAGTTTTTTTTAAGGAGAGATTGGATTTCAGTTGCCGCTTTCACTTGCTTGGCAGAATGCTGGCATTAGTTAATACCTTCCAGCAAATGACTCACTGTCCCTGGAGGCTGTTTACATCCAGCTGAAACCATAAAGCAAACTGCTTTCACAGGAAATTTCCGCCCCTCAGGTGGTTTTGTGTCAGAGGGACAGCTCTGGAGACAAAATTACATAGACAAGGCTTAGATGGTTGGGACACGTGCAGAGGAGGGATGGTTTGTTTTTTTTTCCCAATATATTACTTAAAATTGTGTGTATTGTACAATTTATTTAGGTTTGTCACTAAAATTTTTTTTTTCAAAAACACACATTTAAAATATGATACACTTGTTGTTACAGGGTTAAGGAGTATTTTATAAATACTTGCAGTTTTAATAACTGCCTAAATAAGTGTCCCGGTGCACTTAAAGATTCTTGCTCAGCAGCAAGACTTAACTTTTTGACATGTGTTATTTGAGAATAAAGTGTTACCTCGATTTTGACATTTCAAATAATCCAGAGCACAGCATATTGAAAAACAGTGGAAGTCGTCTTTATTTCATTCAACAGAGAAGCTGCTGCAACATTGGAGTGAACCACTGAGCAGAAACTAACATTCACACTGAGCCGCTGAAAAGATGACCTGGCACAGTGGATCTGTAAGGCTTAAGGACGCCTCAATCACATGCATACACACACTCAACCTCATTTACATCGGCTATCTTACACCTGTGTGGCTGCACAACCTGCAGCCTCATTGCTATCCCTCCTCCCTCTAATGTGGTCAGTCAGAGGTGAGGGGTTAAGGGTCACCTTGGGATCAGGTAACCTCTAGTCCCTGCGCCTCAAACGCAGGGCTTTTTCATGACTTTGACATAACACAGAGACGTTAACCGTTCATCTCTATGGTACACATCTAAGCAACGTAACCCCCCTGAAAAAACACTGCATGGCCAGCCGTGGGCCTGGAGAGCGGAGATCAAGGGGTGCTGAGGGGAGGGCATGCTCTGGCCAAAGGGAGGGCGAGGAGGAGTACAGCACTGGCCAAGACAGTAATTAGATTGGTCACTTGGTAGATCGTCGGGTAGGCTCAGAGGCGGTGGGAGGAGGTGGCGGGCCACGGCGGTCTAGATCTTCAATGTAGAACATGATGAGCTTCCTGCGCTCCTCTGGGACACACTCCAGAACAAGGTACCGCTTGTCGTTCTGAAGAATCTTCTCTACGTCCTTCAGATGCTGCTCCGACTCCTGGATGAGCTTTCTCGACCTGCGCACAAGGAGACAGGCAGAGCGCGCTCACAAGCAGGAATACAATAAGATGAACAGCACCCTCTCCGAGTCCTGGGGATGGAGTGTACTCGCTCTAGAGCTGAATGTTTTTAAGACGTCAGCCCAATTTAGTTAGACTCAGGCATGCTGCATATAGCTGCCTTCAGTAAAAATAGCTGTGTTAACTGACAGCATGTCACCACTTCTAAAATTGGTCCTCATGAAGCTACAAAATGTAACAACGTTGCATCCTGGATGCTCTGCAGCAGATAAAAAAAAAGATCTTGCAGAGGGTAATAAAACCAGCAGAAAAGATCACTGGCTCTGGTCTTCTGTTGCAATCAAAGAGACTGCAGAAGCAAAGACACCACTCAAGAGCTTTATATAAGAGTCACTAAAGACAGATCTCATTCTGCACTCACTGTTTGACCTGTGCTAGATGCTACAGGTCCATCAAAACAAGGACACGTAGACTAAAGAGCTGTTTTTATTCAGCTGTGCTACATCAAGCATCATTACTGCAATACACTATGAGAAGTTCTATTTAATTCTCGACTCCTTCATATTAAAAATTATTTATTATCTTTTACTGAGAGGGCTTGGATTATTGTGTGAATGGCTTGTTTTTGTAGTGTTCTTTATTTTGGGAGTAGCACTTCTGTTACGTTGTATTATTTTAACACTGTAGACAAGATTCTGAAAATCTTGAACCTCACTGTGCTCTGTGTGGGCACATCAAGGACTAGCGAGCTGCTGAGACAAACTAAAGCATACTCAGGTGTGAATTGTGTGCAGCGCAGTGTGAGTGCAGGCCAGTGGGGATACAGGGACAATGGTTAAAAACTGTAATTCAGATATTCTCACTATTGAGCAGACTACAGTTTCAAGTCATGCAACCTGCGCAAGAATCTTCCAGTGTCGTTATAAAAAAATAAAAAATAAATAACTCAGATTTCACCCACACCAGTTTTCCACTTAAACATTTAACACACCATCTGCTTAAAGTTGCAGAGAAATAAAGACTAGATGAGCTTTATTTATAACAAGTTCCTAGGAAGGGGCACAACTGTGTCGGGTTATGCAAACTGAACATATGTGAAACAAAGCACAGACCTGTATGTGATGAACTTTGTCTCCTTTAACAGTGTCCTGAAGTCAGCTTTGGCTGTGATGTATTTGTCTTTGATGTAGTCTTCGAACTCCCGCTGTCTCTTCTACAAACAAGGACAAACAGGAGTCAGAACTCCAGAAAATGGAAGTGTACTTCACACAAATAATTAAACTCACATTATAATATGTTTAAGATATATCAGCCACTGTTGAGAAGGTTTGCAGTCCACAGGCAACAGCTTTCATTGTAGAGGAAGGATTATGAATAGAAACACCCCATGAATCCAAAACAACGTAAGCTGCCAAGTCCTTGAGATCATGACAATGAAAGTAATCATTTGATTACAAGAAGCCTTTGAATAACAGAGTGAATTCATGCATGCGTTTTTTTTCATGCTGACATTTAATTTGTAATTTAGCATTTGCTTCGATCTAAACGTTTCCTTGAATAGGACGGATGCGGTTCAGGCGTCTACTAATTGGAAGGTCGGCGGTTCAATTCGTGGGTCCCCCTACTCTGCATGTCAATGTATCTGAACCCCCATCCATTTAAATCTTTTAAGCTTCCCCAAATCCATCCATTGGAGTGTGAGCATGTGCGAATGATACACAAATGATACACAAAACTGCTTGTATGAATGTGTGTGTGATGAGTGAATGAGGCTTGTAGTAAGAAACCACTTTGAGGGCTCAAACTCAGTAGAAAGCCTCCTTGTAGACACACCTATGTAATGGATTTCAAAAGGTTAATTGGCACAATGTATTCTTGGCATCTCAGCTCGCAACCAAAGGTGATCAGGAGATCCAGCACCACCTTATGGCAACAACCAACATGGGTTTAAACTAAGCAAAAAATGAATTAATTGCTGTTTTAATAAAGAAAAAAAATAGAGTATTTGTCCTTTTTCTGTCCTTCTGTAAACGATGGTGATGTTTTTATGCTGCAAACAGCAGAGCACATTGAAAGCGAAAGTTGAGACATTTGAACTCTGGAATTTTCTGGACTTCCCCTTTCTCGCATTTCGCTGAGCAACAGAGAGAGTCTATGCACAATAATTACCACACACACCACCGAAGATTCAGCAGAGAGCGAGAGATACAGCATCACTTTCACTACCCTCCTTTTAAATTCAGATTCATGTTTTGGATTTTATTAGACGCGCTTTTAGTCTGCAGTTTCAAATCATCTTTTGGGCTGACTGAAGAGACATGGAGAAGGACTGGATTTATAATTCACTTTTGAATTATCCGATTCTTTTGTTTAGACTGGCAGTAAGATAAGATAAGATAAGATAAGATAAGATAAGATAAGATAAGATAAGATAAGATAAGATAAGATAAGATAAGATAAGATAAGGTTTATTAGTCCCACACTTGGGAAATCTGTTGTATCACAGCAGAAAGTGGACAGTGCAAAGTTATAGTAGCAAAAATTTAAGAAAAACACTGGAATAGGATAAGAAGCAGCTGTGAAGACTGCTACAGGGTGTTTACTCCTAAGGTGTGGCATTAAGTGAGATTTTAAGTGAAAGAGACACACTACAGAGCGATACTTCTTTCTTGTGACGTACTTTTGCAACACGACTAATCTCTTATCATCTTATAATAATATAAAGATGGGTTGGAGCCCATAACGTCTTACCCTGTCACTGGAAGAGAATTTAATACAACGAGGATCGTCTTTGATAACTTTCTTCACCTCCTTCCATGTGGTTGTCAGAGTAATCTACAACACACACAAAAACAACAGTCTTTTCTTCAATATTGTCAGTGATCGAGCTGCAGATCTATCATATATAACGTATTATAAATATAACATATAAAATGACTTCTGGCACCTTTTTCTGTCCTGTTTTTTCACTTCTTACCATGCTGGTCTCATCCAGCAGTTGTCTGAAATGTTCCTTCTTTTTCTTGGCCAGCGCTTCTACATGTTCATTAAACAGCTTCTCCTTTTCCTCTCTCTCCAGCAGCGAAGCTGACTCCCAGCGATGGTCTTTCCGCAGGTTACGACGTGTGTCTGACCATGTTGCATCAGAAGAACGGACCTGAAGGGCGAATACAAAAACAGTCGTGGAAAAAAAAAAAACTGCTTGAAGGGATCAAAGAGGGAAAAAACCCATCTAGTAGGATTATCCTCAAAATAAGCAACACATGAACTGTAACATTTCAAACACTTTTTGACAAACAATGATCACAACTTAACGAAACTCACACATGATAAGAGCATGTGTTTTTTCACACCCCAGTGTTTCTGCAGAGCACCTCACCATGTCAGACATTAGAGCTTTGAAATGCTGGATGGCCTCCTCCCTCTTGTGCTGTTCCCTTTCTCGGTCGATCTCTTTGGTCTGTTCTGATCGGGCCTTCTGGACCTCCCGCTCCCTCTCTCTGAGACTGGCCTCAATACGAGCCTGACGTTCCAGCTCTCGCTCCTTCTCAATGTCAATGTTCTGCAGGTGATATCACAAGAAGTCTGTGTAAGCTTCTTTCGATATGTTGCACTAAATTCTCTCTTTTAGAAATACAAGTTAAGTTGAGCTGGTGCCATATACATCAGGTCAACGTCCAGTTAGTTAACATTTATTACATGTGCACCTCCCTAAAAGTACATGAACAGTTATTATTCCAATGAATGCTTTCGAACACATCAGATAAACCCTGATCAGCACATAAACCCTGACGTTATCTCCACAAAGCTGCTCCTACCTTGGCTTGTTTTTCCATGAACTGTTTGAAAAGCTCTTCTCTGAGTGCAGAGCTCTCCACATTCTTGTATCGCGGGTCAGTCTCTAGCCTCTCTTTCACTTTGCTCCACCGCTGACCTCCCTCTATGTGCTGCTCACTCAGAAGATCAAAAAAGTCCTGCTTGACCTTAAAGAAAAAAACAAACACGTCAAACTTTATTATAAATCTGTGTAAAAACAACGTCAGCAGCAGAGACGCAACTCTGGAGAGTTTAAGGCTAAGAAAGAAAGACGGTACACTTTGAGATGTGAGTGAGTCTTACCTTCTCTCCCCTAGACTTGGAGTCCTCT